TTAAGTATTTAAGTACTTAAGTATTTAAGTACTCAATCTAGGCGGGGCTGGACCTCATTCATGAGGTCAACAGTCCCAGACTTGCCGGAATAGCCAGGTTTTGGTAGCCTTTCGAAAGGCCGTGAGAGGGGGAAGCATCCGGATCTCTGAGGGTAGATCGTTCCATAGGGTCGGAGCGGCTACAGAGAAGTGTGTGATGATGTCTCCTGAATCCAGGGAAAAGACAACCTCATTTATTTTTCCTCATTTGTTTTTTTCCCCCCTCTACCTAGGATTCCCATCCCTTATTCGTGCTCGTCCTACCGCACCCGGGCCCGGCTCTCGGCTTCAGGGAACAGCACCCAAGGTTCCCCAGGAGAAAAATGCCTCCCCAGGCTCAACATCATGTTCATGAAGACTCACAAAACAGCCAGCAGCACCCTCCTCAATATCCTCTTCCGTTTCGGGGAGAAGCACCGCCTCAAGTTCGCCTTCCCCAACGGACGGAGCGATTTCTACTACCCGTCTTTCTTCGACCGCAACCAGGTGAAAAACTACCAGCCCGGCGTGTGCTTCAACATCATCTGCAACCACATGCGCTTCCAGTACGAGGAGGTGCGCAAGTTGCTGCCGGCGGACGCCGTCTTCGTGACGGTGCTGCGGGATCCGGCCTACCTCTTTGAGTCTTCTTTCCACTACTTTGGGGGGATCATCCCGTTGACCTGGAAGGTGTTGGGCGATGACAAGCTGGCTGAATTCCTGAGGGACCCTTGGCATTACTACGACCCAAAAGGGTACAACGCGCACTACCTCCAGAATCTCCTTTTCTTCGACTTGGGCTATGACAACAACCTGGATCCCAACAGCCCGCTGGTCGAGCAGTACATTCGCGAGATCGACGGGCGTTTTCATCTGGTGATGCTCCTGGAGTACTTCGACGAATCTCTGGTGCTCCTGAAGGATCTGCTGTGTTGGGAGCTGGAAGACATTCTCTACTTCAAGCTCAACGCCCGCAAAGGCTCCACCGTCTCAAGGCTGACCGACGACCTCTACCAAAAAGCCACAGCGTGGAACCTCCTGGACTCCAAGCTCTACCAGCACTTCAACACCACCTTCTGGCGCAAAGTGGAAGCCTACGGCACGGCGCGGATGGCGAGGGACGTCACCCGGCTGAACGAAGAGAACGAGAAGATGAAGAGCATCTGCATCGACGGCGGCCGCCCCGTGGACGCCAACGCCATCCAGGAATCGGCCATGCAGCCCTGGCAGCCCCTGGGCGAGAAATCCATCCTGGGCTACAATTTGAAAAAAAAGATTCACAAAAAACACCGGAAACTTTGCCGCAAAATGCTGACCCCCGAGATACAATATCTGTCGGACCTCGGGGTCAACCTGTGGATTACGAAGCTGTGGAGCTGGGTGAGGGTGTTTTTGAAGTGGTAAAGGGGGGGGGGGTTGAGCACCTCTTCTCTCCCCTCTTTTGGTTCGTTCCCTTTTCTCCTTCTACCGGTTGGTCAGGCACACGCCGAACTCACTTTGTGGCCAACGACGAACATGGGAACGAACTCGAGGATAAAGTGTTCCCGAGGGTGAATTTTTTTTAAAAAGGGTGGGGAATGGGTGACCAATGCTTGTAAGCAAGGTAGGGAAGAGAAGGTGCTGTACCTATGACTCAATTTTTGGCTGGACCTTCAGGAAGAAGAAAGTAAAAAAGGACACCACTGGCTGTCACGTCCTCTTCACCAACTTGCATTCCAGGTCTCGGCTGTTTTAACGTCCCAATGAGGACAGTAAACACCAGTAAACAAGAAACTCCCATCCCTCTCCATTTGGCTCATTCCCCTCTCGTAGTCAAACTCTCATTCCCCTCTCGTAGTCAAACTCTCACGGACCGCAGTCGTCAAGGTGTACAGGAGAAGTGAGTTTGGCAGATTACGGATGAGGATATCTGCCGGTACATCGTTTCTTTCTCTTTGTGAGTAGCATTGCGGGATGCCCGTTTCCCAGAGGCGAACCGAACAGGTCCTTTGACCGAACTATGGTAAAGAGCGAGAACTTTGGAGCAGTACGGTCAGAGTTCCCTGTACGTTGAGCAGATCTGCCCCAAAAGCCTAACGCCGTTGCCTCTTGAGTACGGCAATTCTCCGCTGACATTTCGGAGCGCCAAATAACTAGTTTCCGGGAGGCTTTCCAGACAGAGAGAAACCGAGCGCTTCCTCAGTTTTATAGCGCCCGCGTGAAACTTGTATTTACAGTGAGTTATGGTGAGTTGTGAATGTGTATTTCTGTAACCCGTGCATACATAAATCCCCTCCGTTTGAACCACAGTGGTATTTTGTCTGCTTGCCTTAACTATGTGCTCTCGCTGGGCATGTTGTCGCGTGCGTGAATTGGGAGATGAGCGTACTCTTCTCTGGGCACCCCGAATCCATCTTCTGTTTTAAAATTGCACAGAAACAGGGCGTCAAAAGGCGAGCTGCACTGGCTGCCTGTNAGGAAATAAAAGAGGAGCGAAAGGGGAGTGGAGTTTGCAGGAGACAGTTAGTTCACTTAATAGGTTCCTGACTCTCCGAGACGCCTTGCCAAGTTTTGCAGATATCGGCCTGGCAGCTCTCCAAGCCAGATAAGGTCTGTGACTGTAAATCCTCCCTTGAAAGACTTTGCTGGGTGTGAATGAGCAGAATTCATAGTAAATTAATAAAAGGGTTTTTTGTCAGGACTAGGAGTTTGCCTCAGGCTCTTGGGAAGCCTATGTCAGAACATAGGACTTCCACTGTGGGAAGACCACTACCAGCTGTCCACCTTTATAGTTGAAGGAGATCCAGGAAAATAAGATTAAAGAAGTTGTTTGTAGTCCACCCAAGCTAGAACAAAGTTTGCAAGGGAAGTCAAACATTAACCTCAAGGTGTAATCTTGCTGTAGAGTGCTCAGCGCTTTTCATGCTTACATTTCTGGGATTTAAAGAGCTAAAGCCTCCAATTTTAACCAAATGCACTGCTTCTGCGGGCATGAAAGGACAAAATATATCTTTCCGGCTTAAATAGGTTTCTGGAATAAATATGATAAACCAAAGTAGATAAGGATGACAGTGAAGCAAACACAATTCACATTTTTGAAACATGTCCCAATTAAGTGTCTAGCCTTTTCACCCCTTTTTTAAACAAGGGCCCTTATCAACATGATAGCTGATAGAACCAGCCCCCACGTAAGGCTTATAAAATATTATAGGCGGGCAACTTCTGTTCTGCACTTGCCTAAGTGTCAATTAGTCTCTTTTTCTGCTTTCAGAAACAAGACATGTCATTTTAATTGAACCTTAGAAAATGCTCAGTGCGAGCATTTAAAAGTCAGATGCCTTCCCAGTTTAATCTAGCATACGAATTATATAGTTCAGGGGTGAAATTCAGCAGGTTCTGACAGGTTCTGGAGAACCGGTAGCGGAAATTTTGAGTAGTTCGGAGAAATACCACCTTCTGGCTGGCCCCAGAGTGGGGTGGGAATGGAGATTTTGCAGTATCCTTCTCCTGTCACGCCCACCAAGCCATGCTCACAGAACCGGTAGTAAAAAAAAAATTGAATTTCACCACTGATATAGTTCTTCTGAATTTCTGTACATCATTCTGTTTGTTCAGTTAGGTCTGGATAGGTTCAAGAGGCTAAGGAACATACTTTGAGGAAGGGGCACCAAATGAGACAGACCACATCACATATACAGGTGAGAGTTGATTTCTGGGGAGGATCTGGGATTTGTTTCTTTTTTTTAAGTGTCATTTATGTATTTTGGGATTTATTGTTTTTCATATGAAAAATGGAATTAATTGTCTTACATTTTCAACAATTATGTCTACTGGGACATGTGAGAGTCCAAAAAGGAAATATGAGGGTCAGATACAGCTGTTAAGCCACAATTGGCTTACCCCTAGGTTAGGCAATACAACAACATTACAACAACAACATTACTATCAGCAACGAAGTAACCACATTCACTATGAATAGAGAGGTTGGCCAGTTATAGAAGAGCGAATCCCTTTGGTCTATAGAAGGGGACTCCAACCTTGGCAACTTTAAGACTTGTGGACTTCAAGAGGGTAGGGCACCAGGCTAGAAAGTATGAGACCATGAGTTCAAGTCCCACCTTAGTTATGAAAGCTGGCTGGATGACTTTGGACCAGTCACTCTCTCTCAGCTCAACTCACAGGGTAATTGTTGTGGTGGGGGAAATAGGAAGAGGAAGTCGTGCTGCATACCTTCACCGCCTTGAGTTATTTGTAAAAAATAATAAAGGCAGGATATAAAACAAATTTAAAAGTATCAATATCAGCAACAAAGGTAACCAGAGCCACCATGAATAGAGAGGTTGGGCAGTTGTAAGAAGAGTAGGCCCTGGAATGGATTTGTTGAACCAAATTGAATCCAATGCCAGTGGAAAAGTCTACAAATAACCAAGGTCTGGCAAATAAACATTTGATGAAGCTGAAACATGTACTATTGGAAGAAAAGCAGGACTACCTGTTACCTACTGGCTCAAATCAAAATAGCTTTTATAGCTTAACATCTTGTTCCCTTCCCAATCTCCAAGGGCCTTTAGCTGAGACCTTGAATGTGACCAACAAATAATCTAGGTTAATATCATAATTGTTAGTAAATTATCTACTTTCCTCCAGAAGTTGTGGGTGCTCCAACACTGGAGGTTTTTAAGAGGCTGGAGAGCCATTTGTCTGAAATAGTACCTACTTGAGCAGGGGGTTGGACTAGAAAAACTCCAAGGCCCCCTTCCAACTCTGTTATTCTGTTATACGTGTAGGAGAAGGCCTCTTCCTGCTTCACACAAGGGTTCCATCGGCCTGGTGTCTTCCAAAAATTTTAGGCTGGGTGGTGTCATGTTCGGTTTAAAAAAAAATAGGGATGTGGGCCACTCCACCTCCGCAGATAGGGCCCCCTTCCCTCCTCCTCCTCCGGTATTTCTACTTCTCTGTCCCTGCCTTAGGAGCCCTGCCCCAAGATCAAATTTAAGAGCTCCAGCCTTTGCCAAGCACCTGTTCCCCCAAGCCTTCCCTTCCGCCATCAGGAGGCTGTACTTGGTCTGAAAGTTTAACTGCAACTCGGATGTGACTTCTGCTTGGTTTTACACGCACGTGGGAAAGGGGGCAAGAGAAAGCTGGAACTGACAAGTAAGTTAGAAGAGGTCGCAGAGCGAATGGGTACTACTACTACTACTGACTCAGTCAAGGTTACAGGAATGTGTAACCCCATTTCCTCTTCCCCTCCTCCCTCCACCCGCGCGTTTTCCAAGACGCAACGCCTCTTCTTCGCCTGCTGAACCATTTGCAAACCCTCCCAAGAGTAACCCGAAAGCCACTGCAAAACAAACAAACAAACAAACGGCGGATTGCACAAACTCTTAAAGCCTGCAAAAGGCGGGTTTGCGTTAGCAAGAGCGAGCCAGCGAAAGCGCAACGTAAAAAACAACACGTAGTACGAAGGTGGTTGGGGTTTTCACCCCTTCTTACCGTGTTCTTCCTAGACACCATCTTATCCAACTTTTTGGCCGTCCGGATCAGCTCCTCCGCTTGCCCCATGGTACTTCAGCCGCCTAAACGGGCGCCTCTCCGCCCAAGGTCCAGATACGTGTTTTGTTTATATACGTGTGGATCAAAACTACAGCTCGGGGATGGGGGCGGAATGACGACCCGCCGCGGGGTCTGTTTTCATAAACACTTCTAGGGTTCTGTTTGTTTATTTAAGGGAGGAAAGGGAAAGTGCTTGTGGCGTTAAAAAGGAAGTGGGGGAAGAGAAAGAAAGGAAAAGTTTTTTTGCTCCAACTAAACTACAAGTTGGGACCAAGGGAAGAGAAAGCAGGAGAAAAGGGGGAGTGGCGACCCAGGGACTTATAAACGGCTGCCATGCAGTCGAAATTAGCACCCGGGGACGAGCTAAATATAGGAGCAAAAGGCTCACGGGGTGGAAAAAGCGCAGGAAGGGCGAGATGGGCGGCGATTGAGACCACGTGCGAAGGGGTGTGCTGAGAGCCAACAGGGTGGGGTTAATGAAGCAGGGAAGCCTTTTCACGAGCGGCCTCCAGGATCCGCTTCAGGGTTTTGAAGGAGGGGAGAACTGCCCGCACAGCTGCCTTTGACGATACGATTCACGGCCTGTAAAGCCGCCTTTCTCAACTTTTGGGCCATTGGAAGATGGGTGGTGGACTTCAACTCCCAGGGAGCTCAGCGAAGAAGTCCGCCTGGCTGGGGAATTCTGGGAGTTGAAGTCCAAACCGTCTTCCAGGTTGAGAAACGCTGCCCTGAAGGCTAGGCCTTCAAGGTGACCTTCAATGATTTTTTTGGGGGGGGGGACGGGGGGGGGGTTGTACACACACACACCCCTACCTCCCAAATCATTGACAATGAGTCTTTATAGATTAGCCCCTAGGCCATATTAAAGTGCAAAGTTCCAGAAACAAATTATTACTAAAGTTTGATAAAAGCAATATAAAATGGAATTTGATAAAAAATACAATTTAAAATGGAATTGGAATAAAATACGATTTAAAATGGAATTGGAATAAAATACAGTCTAAAATGAAATTGGAAGGGAATACAATAATTTAAGATATAAATAAAATATGATAAAACTATATTTCGGTGTCACCCCAAATCAGAAACAATATTCCCTTGCCCCAGTTTGGAAGTTAAAGTGATAGCCTGCCGTAGTATCCAGGGATCAAGAACTGTGGCTTGCAAGTTGTTTGTTTGCTTGTTTGTTAGTTTTGGTTTCAGGAGTGTTATCTAAAAATTGTGTTAAGGAACTTTAGAAAGGAAATTGGCACCTGGCTGGTAGAAATGGGTTGTTGATACACTTTGACTGACAACATTTGAATTAAGTATTTGAGGAATGGGGGGAGGGGGAGAGAGAGAGAGAAACAGGAAGGGGAAGAGAGAGAGAGAAACAGGAAGGAAAAGCAGTTTCAAACAATATTGTTCAAAGTTTGGAGTCATTCTGTTTATAACCAGGGGCTGGCACAAAGAAGAGAGAGCAAAGCTCTCCTCCAAAGCCCCTGAGGGCAGGACAAGAAGCAATGGGTGGGAACTAATCAAGGAGAGAAGCAACTTAGAACTAAGGAGAAATTTCCTGACAGTGAGAACAATTAATCAGTGGAACAACTTGCCTCCAGAAGTTGTGAATGCTCCAACACTGGAAGTTTTTAAAAAGATGTTGCATAGCCATTTGTCTGAAATGGTGTAGAGTTTCCTGCCTAAGCAGGGGGTTGGACTAGAAGACCTCTAAGGTCCCCTCCAACTCTGTTATTATATTATATTCTAACCTAATTTGACCCACCCCGTTCTCTTCATTATTAAAATGGAAAGTACATTGTTTGGTTAACCGTGCTGCGCATGTGTATACAGAAAGTCCTTGACTTTACAACAGTTCATTTAGTGACCATTCAAAGTTACGACGGCACTGAAAAAAGTGACCTAGGACAATTTTTCACACTTATGACCTTTGCAGCATCCCCAAGGTCACGTGATTTACATTTGGATGCTTGACAACTGACTCACATTTATGACGGTTGCAACGCCCCGGGGGGGAGGTCATGTGTGATCCCCTTTTGCAACCTTCTGACAAGCGAAGTCAATGGGGAATCCAGATTCACTTCACAACCGTGCTACGAATTTAACAACTGCAGTGATTCGCTTAAGAAATGTGGCAAGAAAAGTCGTAAAATGGGACAAACTCACTTAGCAAATGCTTCACTTAGCAACATAAACGTTGGGCCCGGTTGTGGTAGTAACTTGAGGACTACCTGTACATTTCTGTTGTGAATTAGTTCATCACTATTTAAAAAGGAAAACGGGGACCATCAAGCATCTTTGACCTTCAGTCACTGCAGAGACACTATTTTGATCTCCCTTGGACAACAGCCTGTAACTCTTTTGATTCCACCTATTCATCTTACTTGTCTTCCTCCCTTTCCTTGCCAGATATAATCCTTTTTAGTCGTGTATCCATTTTCATGATAGACTCTTAAGTTTGTACGTTTCATCAGTTCAAGAGCCCATCAATCCATACTACTTTCAGTAATCAGATCTGCATTCATTTGAGGGTATCTCTGCATCTCTTCATTTTCCTTGGTACTCGGCTTTACAATACCACTGAAAAGGCTCTTACTGAAATTGTTATCTTTTTCTCATTGAAGTGCCCTTATTCATGATCTTGGCTCATTCTGTTTTTCCTCTCAAGTCGAGAATTAATCTCCTTCTAACTTCTCCAGCACCGTCACTTATCTGTTGTTCTCCTGTCTTCACCAAAGCATTAAAAAGAAAAGTTTTTTTTAAATGTTTTAAAACGTTGGAAATAAGGGGAAGCTTTCCAATCTCATATCACAAAAGCTTTGGCCTCATTCTTCCGGTGATACCATCACTTCTCAGGAAATGGCCCTGGGGTGCTCAGAGGCTTTATTTTGGGGGGAAATTGTCAGTCAGGAAGAATTTGGATCACACAATAAGTTCCAAATAAGATGGTTTATTGCTTGTGCCTATACAAAACCACGTAGTGAATTAAGAGTCGGCACTAAATTGGTGATAGATGAGAGTCAATAGAATTGGCTGGTTGAGGGGTTGGACTTAGACATTTGTAGAAACGTAAGGATTCTAGACTGATTACTTGCTTGACTCCATCCCCAGGCTCTGGCTGTTCTTCTACGTCTTTTGCATTATAATATCGGAGGTCCACTTTGCCAAAATTTTCCTACTCTGACAATGGCTCTATAGAGAAATATCTAAATGAATTCTCGATCAATATGGATCCTCATTGAGAATTATGATAGGTACAGTCAAAATTTTTACACACAGTAAAAATATGTTTCCCAAAGATTCCAGCCATGCCCACACTTGCCAAAAGCAAGGAATTTTCTACACAATACAAAAACCATGCTGAATTTCCCAAACCTTTTCAGCCAAGTGAGATCAGCATCTCAAGAGGCATGTTGTCTTTTCCTGTACACAAAGCCTTCAGTCCCTTATAGACTTAAAACGGAAGAGGTAATTCCTCTCTGACTACTTTGAAATGAAGGCAGAGTTCCAGAATCTTTTTTCCCAAAAAAACCCAATAATTTTAGGATCCAGGAAAAGTCACTTTCTACCTGATTCTGTGAATTAATTCATTATTTGCATCTTTCAGCAAAGGCTACCACCCTTTTATCAGAGAATAGATTGGGCAGACCACAATTACTATAGCATCTGGAACAGGAGTGATGTTCATTTACCTTCCCAAACGCTAATGTGAGTGTGTGAGCGTGCTCACTTCGCTTGAACGTGTCCCATCCGCACATGCGCTTAGCCTTCCGCATATGCACTTTGGCTAAAAAAAGAGCCTAAATGGGATGCCATAGAGTTGAGGCGAGTGGGCAGAGTCATTTGCAATTTCCGCTACCAGTTCGGGCGAACCGGTCCAAACTGGCTGAATACCACCTCTGATTTGGAACCATAAAGTTCATATTTGTTCATCACATTTCATTTAACAGTCCGAAATCTTTTACCTTCTCAACCTCCTTCCCCAGTTTATCTTTCACCCTTTAAAGACAATACACCATTAACATCAACAGAACCTCCCAAAGTGTTAACTTATGTTAGGTAAACTCCCCATTGGGAGACCGAGTACGTTCACTGAAGCGTTGTGAGAGTTGTGTTGGAGAACACACAAACCAGCATACAGAGACACTGCAGTTTAAATAGGCTTTTACTTTCGTGGAAATAGAGGTATCAGAGTCCATCAAATAGTCCAAGACATACACGGATAAGACAGTCAGTCATCAATGTCTTACAGTTAAGGGATAATCCAAATAACATAGTTCAGTAACATATAATC